AGACAGATGAACAACAAAAGAATGACAGCAACAACGAAAACAAACAAAGAAACTCAAATGAAATAAAAACAGGGAGTGCAGCCGTAGCGGTCGTCTTTCACAGTTTGCATAAGACTGCAATCCACAAACTCTGAAAGAAAGAGGTGATTCTTATCTATCTCAATTATCCCTGAATTAGACAGATTAGAATAGGAAACCAGGATCTTTGTACTTCAAAACACTGAAAGAAATAGTTACATACCTGTTTGAGAAAATCTTTTGTGGTTTTTCTCTTTTGAATGGCTTTCTGTAAGTATATAACACGTGGAGTTCAACGCCTGAAATGATACTAATAAATCATCCATCTCTGCTCTGTTTCCTTCGAAATATCCGAAGCAATAATCGCCCTCAACAGAAAAGCCATTGAGCTCTTCTTTCAAAAAGTCCACCTCTAACTCTTTTAACGTTGTTAGCTTTTGGTCTTCATCCATTGCAAAATTTTCCGCAACAGATGAACTAGATTGCGAAAACCATTTCGCGCAAAATTTGATTGACAATTTTTGACAACCGAAGGTCAAGATCTAGATGCATTTTTTTTTCCGTCACGCAGCAAATATCACACTTTCCCGAAGCCACCGACGCCTTACCCGATGCCTTCGTTAGTTGTTAGAGCAATGAAAAATATTTGTACAATCAACGCTTTTGTTTTTTTTTTTTTCAATTGTTCTTTTTTTTTAATTTTCATGTAGCGAAGTTTTCTGTTAACATTTCGGGATAGATACCACGATTATTTAATACAATAGTTACAAATGATTTGTCTCTACATGCTGCATTAAAGCTATTTCACCGCTGACCACTCATATCTCGGACCATTTTCCTTGCCCCGCTCCTCGCCCGTGATATAGTAACTCCCAATCAAGAACGTCATATAGCCGAGTTTTGAGGTTGCTGACCAGTTAGCCCAGAGATAGTCTCCTCTCGCAGCCTTTCTTTGTCTCGGGATCCCTGTCTCCCTCCCCAACAAACGGCTGCTCGTGTTGACCAAACATTCCATTCCAGCCGATTGACCAATCAGAGTGCCGCCTTCCAAAATCTGGAGGGCTCATTATGTATTCATCTCGCCAATGCTTTTCACAATGGCGGACATGAGCAAAGCTTTCAGCGTTGTCTGTGACTTTTTTCAAAATTTCCGATTTAAATGAACATCAAAAAGTTGCAATTACAAAAATGGTTGCAGAGAGGCAGGACGTCTTTGTTAATCTTCCAACTGGCTTCGGTAAATCTTTAATTTTCCAAAGTTTACCGTTAGTCTTCGACTCTTTAACTAAAGAATCGGGTCACATTGTCCTTGTTTTATCGCCTCTGCTGACACTTATCGACGACCAGATACAAAGTTTGAGAGCATTAGGGATGTCCTGTGTAAGTCTCAGTCATCTTGAGACCGATAAAGAAATTTCAGACATGGAGAAGGGCTTGTTTCAAGTTGTATACGCTACTCCCGAAGCGATTCTAAAGAACAAGAGGTGACGACAAATGTTGCATAACGATGCTTATTCGTCTAAGCTCTGTGCGATTGCTATTGACGAAGCTCAGTATCATCAAACAGTGGTAAGTATATAGAAAATTAATTATCTGACGTTGATTTCAGTGCGAAGAGTTTGTTGTATCTTTTTTGGCCTTCATTATTATTCTTAATATAAATACGTCGTATAACTTATAATATACTCAGATCTTCTCTCTTTAAAGCATGTTATAATCTGTGCAGATTGTGATTTACTAATCTTTTACTATCCTTAATTTAAGGGGGACTTCTAATGCCTCTAAATTGGCTCCTTTTCGTGAATGCTATGGCAGATTGCATGAGTTGAGATCTCTAGCTCCTCCGGTTAACATTCTCGCTGTTACCGCTACTGCGACAAAGGACACCCAAAAAAAGATAATAGATGTATTACAAATGAAAGCACCTTATGAAATCTATGAGAGTCCTGATAAACCCAATATAACATATGTCGTCGAAGCCATTTCACCTGACACAAGTATATCAAAGTGTTTTGAAGGGATTGTAGATGAAGTGAAAAGGAAAGGAATTGAAGCAGAGAGGACAATAATATACTGCCAGTGTACCCGTATCTACAGCACAATAAAGGCGATGCCGGGAAATTACTTTTTTGCCGGGAATGCTGGAGACAACAGAAATGTTCTTGTGGAAATGCTTCACTCATGATGTCATCACCACACTACGTCAGTTACTAACCAACGTTAAAGACAAGTGTGGTGATGACATCACCACACTACGTCAGTTACTAACCAACGTTAAAGACAAAGACGAACCGAGGAACAGACAGGGAACGATTTATAAGATCAATAACTACAAAGTTTTTGGGCGAAAATAACGTTCNGTCAGTCTTGTTGTGAGGTTTCTGCCAGTCTCACCGATGTAGGAGGCTTGGCAGTCGGAACAATTGATCTTATAAATCGTTCCCTGTCTGTTCCTCGGTTCGTCTTTGTCTTTAACGTTGGTTACTAACCAACGTTAAAGACAAAGACGAACCGAGGAACAGACGACCGAAAAAGAACGACCTAACTTTACCGACAGATCGAAACAGACCAATCACGACCGACTTACGTCACTTGAGTCTTACAGCCAATAACATCACGGCAAAACCAACCGATCATTTCACACGAACTGGAATAAGAACATTCTACTGACAACAATCATTCACTTGACTCTGATGATGACTTCCGCACAGGTTGTCGAAACGTCAGTCACTACCACCGACAACAGTCCTTCTCAGGACTACACTCACCTGGACGATCAGACTACACCTTCACATGTTACCCCCGGATTCAAACCATTTACTACATTAAGTTCCTATAAAGTAAAGCAAGAATACTGAGAAATAAAAACGTCAAGGCTTACAAAGCAAGGAGAAGTTATGTAAGTTAAAATGATAGATGGTCCTCTTGAGTTGCGTTTTTTCATCTTCCTCGACCATATGTAGGCTACATATGTAACTATAATGCTAACTGAGATAGCACAAATCACATACCAGAATATGTTCCAATACTCAGTCTGTATTTGCTTCTCTCGCTGGCAACACCGAAAAAGTCGTACCCGGCATACGCTGTCTTTCCATTGATATCTTCGAGGTCCACATGAATTCTGCATCGTTCTTTTGTCAGCCGGTGAATCTTGTCCAGTCCGAGCCAAAACTCACCGTTTAAATTTCCAAAGCCTCGTATGTAGTCGTCCCAACCAAGGTAGAAATCAAACGAGCCATCCAGTCTCTTTTGGAACACTGTCCACACTCCACCGGCTGTCTTTTGGTCGCAAAAGACATCAAAGGCACCGGCGTCGTCAAGATCGATAGTGTAAACACCACTGATTCGTTTTCCAGCTTTGTAGAGTTCAGCACAGCTCTTATAGACTGAAGACGAAAGGAAAAGAAATATTAATACTGACGATCCTAAGAAAAAAACAATGATTTTTCATATCTTGTTCCCTTTTTTTATGGATCCATGAGTAAACAGCCTTGAGCGATTTCGATTTACGCTCAGAAAGTTTTATCATGACCCTTGTTTGAAATAGGATTTGCCAAAAGTGACAGAGCCTATGCAAATGATTTAGTTTCTTACTTTGCTCATTAAAATTTGCGATTTATTCCTTATTTAAAAAAATAAATTTATGAAATTAATTCAAATCGCTTTGAAGGTACATGTAGGCCGAAATCAGCAACTAACCTTTCCCACTAATATTGTTTCCCTTTAGTGATCTTATTTCCTCTCGTATCTCACTGAGCTCGTTCTTGACTTCGCGAAGCAATGTTTTGATCTTCTTGTTCGTTCCAGCGTAAAAGTTGTTTGAAGTATACACATTGTGACATTTGTCCTTTGAAGTAACAGCCTGAGATGAGTTTGGCCCCTTTGCGTTTGTCGAGGTGGAGTTGCTGACTAAAGATATCAGAGATAAAATGAAAATTGTGATCCATTTAGATCCGGAGCAGGCCATAATCCTTCCTCTGAAACTTTACACGTAAGAATCTGTTCAGCTGAAAATTAAAGTCTCTTGCCACCAAACATACTTGTATAGAATAGTATGCAAACTCATTGCTTTCATGTGATGTTTTCGTCATATGCAAATATTTCCGACAGGTTTTTTCGTGAGACTATTAACATACTTACAACATATACACTAAAGTGATCAACACTGGCCATCCAATAACTTTTGTTCTTTCTTTTAATTTGCTGCTTCAATAATCCGCTCTTCTGAACGTCCTTGAATGATGTTCTCTGATTTCGTTTGCAACAGGCATAAAGAGAGGTTCTGATTTAACACTTTTTGAGTTCAGACCGAAATTATTATAAAGGGAAAAGTAAAGCCCTGGTATTACAACTTTCCGGTATGTAAGGAGTTCATTAAAGATTTTGGATTCGTTCTCTACTTTTATATTCCCATCCCCTAAGGTGGTAGGGGATTTCAGTAAACACTTCTCCTAAATGAGCTGATCAAATTCCAGAGTCGGACCACTAGCTAAAGTTTAACCGAGCAAAACTAAGGAAGAAACATTAAATTTTGATGTTTTTGTCACACCAGTGCTCAAAAAGCTTTTTCTTAGCAACCGAAAAAATGGAGAATTATGAATTGAACAACAGAACAACTACTTTTGTCTTCCGATCTTCCATCCGAAAAAATTTTGGAGTTAGCCGCTTCTTTCATTAATGTCAAGAATAGTGATAGGAAATGTTGTTATAAAGCATTGAATATCGTTCAATAATTTGAATTGTTTCCTGATGCGTGATTGAATGTAAATAATTCGTTTTACAATTAATTCAACCATATAAACCAACAAAGACTTCTTTCGGAAAAGAGTGACATCTCTCTTGATGTAAATCCAATATGCCAACTTTGGAATCAATATTTGTGCCTTGGAAACCGATCTCGATAAGACTTTATCTTCTCTGTAACAAATATTCATCCGTGGTATGATAATACCCGCGAAATTTTCCTGTCAAGATGCATGGCCCTGAAATAAAGTTTTTTGAGGAGCAAAGTCACCAAATTAAATTAAGTCAAACTTGGGTATCTAAGCCCAACTGCTTTCTTGTCACTGTATAACTGACTGATAGACGCTTTATTTGCCTTAACGCTCAGCAAGGATGTATAATACAATTTCCGTTAGAGTTTGTATACTTCACAAGTGTATAACTTTCGCTGAATTAAACTCTTCTTAAACAGCCACGCTCCTAGCTGTAGGTTTGTCCTTTAGAAATATTATTTAAACGGATTTTCCTTACAGACCTTCCATCGCACAAAACTTTGTTACACAGACGAGAACCTTTTTCATGTTCTGAATGAATAACGAGGGGCAGTTGTCACTTTCTTTGCTTATGGAATTCGGGGATCTTGTTCAGTGCGAGCCGATACGACCTATTTATCAATATATAGTTTGAGCATTTTGTTTTCTTTATCCGCTGAACTGATTATATCAGTTAAAAGTGACTGTGTAGTCCATAGTTTGAGCTATTTTTAGCGTTTTTCGGTTTCAAGCGCAGTGGATCACGCCGTAAGATCACAAAAAAAAAAATCAAGTTTTAATGGTGACTTCTACGTTTCTTTCTACCTCTTAAATTGCAAACTTACCTCAGTTCGTTAAAAAGGTGCAACGGATAACAGAACAACAGAACAGCCGCCCTGCTCAGAATCAAAACTTAGACTTTTAAGCCGCTGACAGCAAAGAAAAAAAATGTATATCACTAAAATGATAAACAGTAGCACGAAGGATTTTGTCTAAAGACATTGTCTGTGGACATTAGGTGCTAAAAATTATTGTCAAATTATCAGGTATTTTCAAATTTTAAAGGAAAAATGTCATTACGTTGAGTTTAAGTATGATAATTTGAACAATTGCAAGGAAATAGGCTTAATAAAGATCAGCGATTTTGTAGACTTTTCTTCGAAGTACCAAGTTAATCATACTAGCTGAAGGGAGCCATCTCAGACAGTCGGAGGGCAGCATTCCCTGATTCTCACTTACCCTTTCAAGAAATCTTACCTCTGTTGGCAAACCTGACTCTGCTATCTATCTGTGGGAGATTCAGTATCGCACATAATTGGTCACGGTCGTTTTAATAGTTCAGAACAGCGCAGTAATATTTTTTGAAGGCAATAGGAAATTCAAAGTATATAATTGTTGTATATAGATCGGCTATGATAGTATGCTAGATTAAGATCCTCTCAAAATGGAAAGAAATGCGACATTTTTCATTCCTTAGAAACGATATTCAAACAGAAATATCAGCATTATATATGAGAACAATCAACTGATATGGTATAAAAAACACAAAAATAAAAAAAATACAAGATTTATTAATTATTTGAAAAATGAGAACTCTTTTCTCCTTTGCTATCTAAAATCTAGCGGGAATAAAAGAAAAATCTTTCAAAACCTGTTACATCAAGGCTGGCTGGAAGGCAAAACCCACTGATACCTATAAGATGTCGAGATGGCATAGTTATTCTTTGTTATAGCTACACATATATTCTGGAAACCGATAGAAGGTGTCCTCTCATGGGATGAAATTGAAATAAGAATTCTGTACGTGATTTACAGCAACTGGTAGGTTTTCAAAATTTCTACAGATATGAAGACTATATCACGATTATTATTATTTTGATCATTATGATTATTATTTTTTTATCAAAACTTTAAAAAATGGACATCCCAGAGAGAGAGGAGTCCCCCTGGGAAGCTCAACTGGGAGCGAAAAATAATACGAATAAATAATTAAGCATCAAAAGGGGAAACTTAGTAAAAAAAGTCTTAAGGTTTTTGCAAGATTATGAATTATCACGGATCTGCGAGAATGAATGATCTAATTAAACTCTCGATAGGACATCCTGAGTCTTAAGTTAGCTTTAGTGATTCTGTATCTACGTTAGAGGAAATCAAGCTGTCCAAAATAAGCCCAAATTATCATATCCTTCATGATGGTTTCTTAATCAGTTCCCTCGTTGTTACGATTACGTGAGCCAAGAGACACAATGTGTTAAGCAACTATGGTTTATCTGTTCTCGTGGGGAATAACAAGTTTAAATATTGCTGAAAAAGCAAAGCATAAAATATATTCTGCTGTATCGATGCCATTAAATCTACCACAATAATTAATTATTGCTGTAGCTTGATAAACTCTGACATTTTATGTAAGTCTGATTTGACCTTTGGTTCGCACTAGACACGGAACGTGACAAACATAGTAATTTAGATCAAGCTTGAGGTGTAACACAAAATGCCTCTAGCTATATATGATAAATCGTTGATTTTACCATGAAAGTGAAATACAATTTTGTGGTAATTCGCTTTTTTTTTCCCTTCGGCAATGATTAAAGGCGCCTTACCGTCATTGCTTCTTATTATTTCGTATTATCTCCGTACTTAATCAATTATTGTCTCGGTGGGGTTGTTATCAATCGACGACAGTCAGGAATAAGGGAAACCCCCCTAATGATACCAATTGATTGCTTTTAGATATAATTGCTTTCGAATAACCTACGATCGCCGGTTTAACACTATTAAGAATAAGCATAATACATGTACATCAGTAAAAAGCATTTTATCTTATTAATGAACGTTTTCAAAATTAAAAGATTGATCATTCATCTGGTCTGACACATTTCTTGTAGAATTGAGTTCTCGCCCAAAATCCGACACGTTTTCACGGCAATCCAATTTGTATTTCCATATGTAAATACGAAATTGAAGCTGAAATTTGCGCCAAAGTATAGGAAAAGTTTTGTCATCACCCAAGATATTGAAATATTAATTCCTAGAATGATTAATCATCTACACCGGAAATTTCAAGACCAGGATTTTTTTTTTTCTCACAATACTTGTCCCACGCTCTTGGAAAGGTGCAAAGGCTATCATGGTTACCAAGATTATTTAATTTAATTTACTAAAAATGTTGATGGCATTACTGCTCATTAAACAATAAAAGGCTAAATTGTTTAACAGATGCGATAATCCACGTTTAAACCATCAGCTGATGCAAATTTGTCAAAACCAATGCCAGCTGGAGGGAGTTTTTCTGAACTTAATTTTAGTTTTTCTTAATTGCAGTATATTTGCAGGAGATGAGCCTGATATTTTCTAACGCTTGCCATACGAGGAGGTTGGCTTATCCCCACATGCTTCTGGCAAAATCAGACCCCAGGCGTCCCCGCGACATCAAGTTATCTTCAAAGAGACGGACCACAACCAGAAAGAAGATTGATCGGTAACAACAGATGTGCCCACGTTGATCATGATTAAGAGCAAATAAGTGACTATAAAAAGCGCTGACAAATAATGACAGATAGGTGTATCGACTGAACAGAAAGGTATACAAGGTGTTCAGTTTTGATCAAGTTATCTGAGCTTGGAAATGGCATCCAATTTTATCCTGTTTACCCTGCTGTTTGGAATCGCTTTGGTGTGTCAGTGCAACAAAATTTCCAGTGAGGATTCATTGTCCCTTTTGGATCTGCTGAGTGAGTTTTGTATCCCCCAAAAATACGTTTGCCTCATCTCGCGGGTTAGAATCCAGCACGTTCGATGTCTACTATTTTCAAGTTTGAGTGCAAGTTGTAATTTTTATAAATGAGTAGCAAATATCCAGTTTAAATATAAGCAAACACATAGATAAGCCAAGACGAAAAGCAGTGTTCCCAATGTTTTTTTTTCTTACACATCCATTGAACAAAATTCAGCCCTAACAAACAGGGTTCATGTGCGAAAGGGTGACTCAAGAAACTCTCAGTTTTGTAAACTTAATTCGTGCATGCTCTTGCGTAAACCAGATTTTCAGAAATGGGTAAAGCAAATATGTTTTTCAGTCTTCATCTTCCAAACACAAGCTGTAACGAAACTAAAACAGGTAAGTACGGTATTTGATATCTTAGGGGAAAAGTGAAAGATTCGCGTCACTGACACATTGGGGCATCACTCAGTAAGAGAATAATCCATTCTCGCTCATTATTTGCTTCATTTGACGACCAGAGAAATTTGCGGCTTTTTGTCAAAACTTTACCGACGGGGCCGTAGAATCGACTCAATGTCGAAGACTCCTTACATAAAGCCTGCAATGTTTGGTCTCATTTCCCATGTGCAAGTGGCTTTAAGAATTGAAAAAGAATAGACTCAGAGTACTTGGTTTCTTGCCTGGTTCCAAATTGAAGTCATTGCACCCTTTTTTCTTTCGAATTCATCTTCCTCAGGTGCTGAATTGGACGAAGATACCTCTGAGGATATTACAACACGCAGTTCCAAGGGTAGTAAACTTAACCGACAACAAATTATGATTGAACGCTTATTTACCGTTAAGGTCTTTTTCTTTTCTTACTTTCTCAAAGTCTTTCCTACACCTGTATGCTAGTTATGTTGAATCTCGATAAGGTCAGCCGGCATGAAAATAGTTTCAAAATCTCATTCACCCTTTGCTCAAGCACTGAGACGGTTCTTAAGGAGTCTAATGGTCAACCGACAGGAAATATTTTAGATATCTTCATTGCAAGGATCTACATACTTATCTACCTTAAGATCATCTGGAAAAAAGAAGTAAACAGCAACAACAAAAATTGAGTTCTGTCCTTTTGGAAACTCTATCCATAGTCGCTTTCGATTGCAGTGAATATTGGTTATCATTTTACCTATTTTAACCTGTATTAACACCATATCAAACTTTTCTAGGTTGTCATGATGTGAAAAGTAAGATCTTCTGCAGTCGCTTTAGAAAATACTGCCGCACAGATTCAGGTACAAATTTCAAATTCATGGTATCAAATTGTCGGTGGACATGCGGATGTATTTGAAGTGAGCGTGCATTTATATCACAGTTCAAAAGAAGGTAAGTAAGTTGGTAACAAGATAGTGTTGTGCGATTTCAGTATTTTGATTTTAGTTTGCGAAATACATCCTTTATCTTTATAATTACCTGTGCATCGTATCGATCGCATAAGGAGGACGTGAAAATCGAAAACAACAAGAACAAAATCATTAAGTATTCTTTGTGACCAACAAAATAATCTGCCGCGCTTAATAGTTCGTTTCTTAAAAATTCAAGCACGAAAAAACAAAAAAGAAAAAAAAAAACCAAAGTTTCGATCGTTCAGTGCGGCCATTTTGTTCCTCCGTATTTTTTCCCTGTTCTGCAGTGAATTACCGTGTGGTATTTTGAGCATTATCATGACCTCATTCGGTTAATTAAATGAACTAGTGGTTAAATAATAATTTCATGTAGTTTTATATATTCACGCGAAGTTTTGTGTGTATATCAATCTGGTCTCTCGTTATCATTCGCGATTGTTGCATGATGTCAGGAGTACGATTGGAGTAAATTACTAAGTTCGTAGTTGGGTACCCAGACTTTTCACGGCCAAGCGGTTTTGGATTGTAGTGAAAATTACACTGTAGGATCTGGGAACGATATCACTAAGTTCTCAAAGAGGAAAGTAAGCAAGTAAGGGACCGGACATTCATTATCTCCTGGGAAGGGAGTGGGGGGCGGCCGAGTTTGGTTGTCCTACGATAAAATTTATCTGATTTCCCCCAAGAGGCATTGTAATTTCTTATCAAATGACCTCTCCACTGAGACCAAGAAATAAAAAGTCCCCTTATTTCCTCTTGTGTGGCCATGCCAGTCTCTAAGTGAGCAAGAAATAAAGTAAGTAGGCTGCTGGCTGAGCTTACAAGCAAGTGCAAGAAAGTTCACTCTTTAGCTTGCACAACTGATTAGCGTGTAATTTCTACCTCCAATATCTATACATTATCCATCGAACAGGTAATGAGAATAATCAGACTTCAGTATTAATTAGAGCTTGTTACTCTTGATCCTAACATCAAATTCTCATGGAATTTCCTCGGAGCCAGAGGGTAGAATTAACAATCAGAGCTTGGGAGTTAAAGGGTTAACAAGTGGGTTAAATGAGTCAGTAGATAAAGTAAATGAATCAATTTAGTGGACGATTAGTGTGGATACATTTTACATTTTCCTATGGGTAACTGGTACTTCACCAGCGATGATGAGCATGAAATAAGAGCATAATTGACGAAAATGGATCAGTAAAGATTATTAGCGAATACCACTCTCCAGTGATGTGAGCCCCCTGTATAAAGACTGTTATTATTATTATTATTACTATTATTATTATTATATTATCAATGTGATCCTGAAAAATGTAACTTGCAATAACTAGCAAACAATTGTTGTAGAAATATAGGCAGAATTCAGAGCTTTATTTTTAACAGATGAAAGATATGCTCTCCATTAGCCAAAGAATCTGACTATTCATTACGCAAAATATTTGACAATGGTAACATCTAGCAGAAACAGACTTCTCCTGTCTTCTTCTTAGGGAAAACCGACCAGACCTTGGCAAGAGACAAAGAAATAATCAACGAAAAATTTAGAAGAGAACCTCCACGCGATCAATCAAGATAACTTAGAAAAGTTAAGGTGTCCTATAACACAAATTAAAAGCTAAAATGTATTCCGTAAAAAGATAAATAAATAAAAGAGATAAAAATAATGATACTGGAAAATTTACATAACATCAATTGACTTTGCTTCCCTGTTGCTATTTCGACCTGTTTCGGAGATCCCGGTCAAGCTAAATTTTTGATAAAATAACCGGACTTGGTCACAGCCTTCATCTAATACTCATTGCTGAAAAAACGGCTGAAAGAAAGAAACGCGTTTATTAGCGGTCATGCTTCTATAGAAGCAATACACGATCTAAATATGTTGGAGAGCCCCTCTCCTTTAAGTACACAATTTAATTTTGTCCTTTCATAAATAAGCCTTCCTCCCTCTACGGGGTAAAGAAATTCAATTATGTCATCAACTTAACGTTAACATAAACTGTACAAGATGTTACATATACAAGGCTAAAAGATTAAGAAAAAATTATTAAAATGTTTAAACCAAACGTTTTCGGAAGTTTGCCATCATCAGGGTTGAAAGTGATGACCGTCTGTACATATATCTTATCAACCAAGCGCGAGGGCCGTACTGGGAGAATATCGGCCCGAGGTCTTGACAGTACGGACCGACCGCAGCGAGGTCCGTACAAAAAAGACCGAGGGCCGATATTCTTCCAGTACGGTCCCGAGCAAGCTTGGTTAATAAGAGATTTATTATACGACTGAAGTTCAAAGGGACACAAGTGCGGTATCATTCGGGACCATTCGGGACCATTCGGGACAGTGCCCGGTCCAATACTTAGAGAATATTGGACCGGCAATAGAGCATTTTGATTTCAGTTATTGGCTCTCTGACTCCCCGAGTCGTGTAATAATTACATATATATCTTATGTGATTCCCGATAAGATATATATGTATGTATGTACAGACGGTCATCACTTTCAACCCTGATGATGGCGAACAGCCGAAAACGTTTGGTTTAAACATTTTAATAATTTTTTCTTAATCTTTTAGCCTTGTATATATGATATCTTTTATTAAGCGAACATTTTGAACACAAACTGTACAGTGTTTTTAATCAAACAACGACGCCATTATTTTCAGGTCAACTATGGTTTGTTTGAATTTGATGACCTCATATGTTTTGGAATTTTAAAAACTTCAAAACCTACCTTAAGTTATTGACATGAAAATTTATAGAGGCTATAAGGGAGAGTTGCTCTGAGATATTGGCAGCTCAAGGGAATTCAAGAACCAGTCTGACGATGATCACGCATTAGGTAAGAAACACGAGTTGTTGCAAAATGAAACCGTTGAAGTTTTTTTAGCTTAATGAAAAACATCTGATGCACTTAAAAGGTTACTGCTTTAAAAGTCAAGCACAAAAAAAAAAATCGAGGTTGGGATCTTTTAATGCTGCCTTTTTGTTGCTCTCTGGTCCTTTTCGTCCGTATTTTTGCATTGTTTGTAATACCACAGCATTGTAAGCGTGTTCCGTTGCCCTAATATGGTAAAGCGACGTAACAGTGGATAGATAAATTGCATTATCCTGTTAGTTTCAAACGTCTTCTTTCATTTCTTTAGAAAAGCGCCTTCAGCATTTTAATTTGAGGCTACTTAGATTTTTAATCATCATCATCATCTGGCTATAAGCGTTTAAGTCGGTGAGAGCTAGCTTTTATTCGACGTAATTGATAATGCTTGGACTCTTTAGCGCTTGAACCTGCCATTTTGATCGAATTATAGGTGAGGGGGCTGGTTCATCGAGAGCGAAGATAAAACAGGGTAACTACAAGTTAGCAAACACACAATCGGGAAATAACGAAAAACGGGCAGGTGACAGTGAAATTCAGTCAACACGGCAAAACAGTGAATGACCATTGGGTTGTGAAAAAGATGATGAAAATATAATTTAAGTGCAATGTAAGATGACAATTTCTAAATTCTAGAGCGTTGCCCAGGGCGCTTTAGTTTTGAGAGAGTTCTCCAAGTGTCTTCCATCGACCCTCACCACCGTTTGCCTCAAGGAAGTTCGTGGTTGCTTTTCAGTTTTATCTCGACTTAACACTTTCTTGTGAAATATATATATTCTTTATTATTATTCTTTATTATTATTGTTTGTGTCATACAAGTGAATTCCTAAGATTGACCAAAGCCAGAGGCTTAAATGGCTTATGGTCAGAGACAAAGAATAACTTGTCAAAGAACAATAGACTAATCTAAGGTATTCTAATCTAATCTAATCTAATCAAATCTAGGTAATAAACAATACTCGGGGTATATTAGAAGCTCAGTATAATGTTCACAAATTTACAAAGAGCAGTAGATTAATCTAAGTAGTAAACAATAGTCCGGGTATATCAGAGGTTCAGTATAATATTCAATTTTGGTAGCTAAAAACTTAATTCAGGTTCAAGAAGTACAATTTAAGCTTCTTTTTGAAGTTACTAATGGTAAGGCTGTTACGGAAAGTCAGAGGGATATCATTCCAAATAGTTGGGGCTTGGGAACAAATAGTTGGTTTTCACCTGACGTCAGAGCCCTTTCCAAAAATGGGCATCCGCCATTGTTGTGTCCCTCGGTGTGCAAAAGTTATGTTAATCTCAAGTCATCTTTGTCGACCTTCTCCTGGTTTTTGTGGAATGTTTCGCTTCCATCATGGATTTAGCGGAAGGTGAAGCTGAAGAAGACTAGAAGACCCTTCCCTTTAATATTCCTGTGTTGTCAGATTAAGCTAAGGCTTTAAACAAGCAAGTAAAGGGACGATATCTCGAAAAGATATCAGTCGTAGGAGTTGACCCTGTCAGTATTCCTTACGAAGCGCTAACGCTCGAAACGTCAGCTTTTGTAATCGTTACGGTGGCCAATTTACCATTTCAATTTTGTTGATATATCCAAATTATTTCCTTATGAGTAGTTTGACTCCGAGTGTTTGCCCCAAATGCAAGCGACTGATTTGCTTGGATATTTCGTCTTAGAGACAAGCTTTTATACAAGACTGCAGTTTAAAGCCTACAAGATGATGGCGACCTGATCAAACAATTCTTAGCCCAACTGGTTGGCTTACTGGTGATATAATACAACAGGCTCAAGTGCTGCTACAGAAAGAAAACTCAGTAACCGAATGATTGCAGCGGCCCACTCTAGGCCCAGCACATAACTTTGATGTTGTTTCTGGGGAATTTGTGCAAATTCTGCATACCGGAAGTAATCACTGGGTTTGTGTAAGCTCGATCGGATGTTTGCCTGGCCATGTAAATCTCTATGACAGCCTCTACCATGATGCCAATTCCCAAGAAGTAGAAAACCAGACAAATGACTTGCTCGGTGGGACACTGGCTAGTCTACAGTTTTCTTTCCGTGCAACAGCAAACAAATGGAAGTGACTGTCGCGTTTTTGCCATTGCCTTTACCACATGCCTTGCTTTAGGAACAAATCCAACCCATGTGACATTTGACATTCAAGGAATGCGTTCACATTTAGTTGCATGTTTTAAGACAGAAAAAATGAGCATGTTTCCATGTTTTTGAGTCTTACCAATTCTGTTTAATTAAGAAGGAGTGAGATATATTTCTTTGGCATAACGATAAAACTATAAGTTTTATAAGTTTCCCAAATTAATATTGTGTGGCTCCAGAAAATGTCCGTACTCACCCTATGAAAGGTAAATGGAAATTCAAAGGGGGAGGGTTTTACAAAATCCAAAGTTTATAAGTCAAAGTATGAACCTTAATTGGGAATTTCAGGGAGGGAGAGAGGGTTCAATATGGTAAAACCTTCCATGTTGGAGGTATGGATATTTTTTGTAACCACACATTTTACTCCAGGGCTAATGTATGTGAACATCGCATAATTTCTAGGAATTACTACTCAACAAGGGTTAAATGGGTCTCACCAGGTGAAAAGTTCAGGTCAACAATATTTGTTTATTTTGGTCATTATTTCAAAATGCTAAATGTTCCAAACAAAGGTCTCTTCATTTCAGTCTAGTAGTTTTAGTTGAGAGACATTGATGGACTCCTGACTGCAAAGATTAGTAAAAAGTCAAAAGATAATACATATTTACTGATTATTCCCTTTGTTAATATGAACTGTCTGTTTTATTGTGATGTGCATGTAACAATGAATTATCATGTTGCAGGGCTTGGAAAAACTTGATTACCAGCTTTCCCTGCAAACAAGCAGCTCTCAATTTTCAAAAACTTTATCATCATTTAATGAGCTATAAATACCCTTTTCTTGTTGAAGAAAGATATGCTAAGTATAGAAAACAGGTGTTTCAAAGAGCTTGCGACTGAAATGATTAATCAAAAGGAATTATTGGAGGGCATAAATTAACAAGGGCAGGACAAACCCTTACAATTTGGGCTATCATGGGGATCTTAGTATCTGGAGTTCCTCTGCGGTTGGAAGAGAGAAAATCTGTAGACAGTGTTCCTTCTAGAATGGTGTACTTTCGCTTCAACAAACCAATAACTCTCTCCACATGGATTCTCACATTTGCAATGCCCCTTGTTTGCTCCACATCTACAGGATCTAACTGTGACTTTCCCTTAGTAAATGCTGAGACTACTAACTTGGCTTGTTTCAGCCCAACGCTATCACAAATAGTAAATCCCCCATCAGCCATGACCATGTCACCAGGAAGTAGATTTTCTAAAAACCCGCAATTCTCAGTCAAGTACTTGTCAGAGGTGCGGCCACCCCAAGCTTCAGACACAAAACAGACAGTTCCTTGTGGAGTAATTCCAATAAGAATTTTTACTGTGTTATGGTGCTTATAATTAGAAAAAGTCTGTGCCCTGGCAAGTAAGTTTGTTGGCCTATCAATAAACACCTCAAAGCAGTCAATTATTACTGTGACCTGCTTACCAAAGGCATACTGAAAGGACATAGGCATTGTCCTCCATAGTCTTTCCCTGTCTGGCCAAAAATCCAGGGGAGACAGTCGGGTATCCATCACCATCATCCACGATGAAAAGATCCTTGAAACTGTGGATATTGAAACCACAAACCGGTAAGCTAGGTCTTGAGAGGGAACGTTTAGCCGCAGCTTGATGAGCACCATGATAAATTCCTGAAATCTGTTCAGGGATTGTGTGCGGCGGGTAATGTACTTGGCAACATGCTCAAACACCACCTCGAGTATTTCCCAAGAAGGCAGTCCGGTGTAAAATCGAACTTTTTCGTCCGTATTAAAAAATTCTCTATCTGGTGCCTTGTTCCCACTTTGCCTAGCATTCAGAAGGTAGTCAAATTCTTCGGTTTGTGTTTCGGTGTCCACTTTTGTCACTGTTGACACGCAAGAAGCGGTGCTCGTTTCACTCTGTTCTTCTGTTTGTGTTTCGACATTCACTGTTATCGCAGCTGACACGAGGGAAGCAGTGTCTGTTACACTTTGTTCGCCACTCGCACAAGACTCATCTAGCATCATTGCTTCGCTCTTTTCTTCGCTCTCTTAATTTTACGTGCTTGGTGGAGCGGTAAAGTCTATGTCATTTATACGCTCTCCGCTTCCATCGATAAATTTTCTCTTCTTGGTTGCCTCTTGTTCGTGCCGCTCGATCGCACTCTTTCTTCGGGCCTTCGCTCGCTCACTCTTCTGAGCAGCGGCGTCCACATCTTTTTTCTTGTACTCTTTCTTGGTTAAATGACGTGTTGGAATCCAATCTTCATTGAATCTGTCCCAGTTTGCTGCAGGCCTGCCAGAAACGAAGTGACGACTACAAACACGCTCGTTCTGCAAAACATTCTTTGTTTTCGGGTCAGCACGACCTATCGCGGAAATCCAAAGATTTCTCCTCTCTCGGGTTAACTGTTCGAACTCTTCGCCTTGATTAGTGATAATAGCAGGTACAGAATAAAAACGAATGCTATCTCGACCACTTTTGCTTCCACAATTGCCAATAATACAAAGAACCATGACGCGTTCTCGCATTCACTCTCTCTCATGCTACTTTTTGTTTACACCTGAGGGACACAATCATGGCGGATAGCAACGGTTGTCAAGTTAGGGGTCACGTGGGTGAGAACCAAGAATAGCAAATTGATACCTACGCGAGAATTTGTGTAAGTTAAAACAAGAGCGAGTTGAATAATCATGAAACTCACGATTGAAATTTAAAAGCGAAGAAAGAGTAGCAGGCACAAGGCGATTGAAATATGAGAAAACAAAACAGGATACATGGAATTTGTAGAGTAAGTGGAGCGAACGAATATTGAGCTTAGAAAAAAAGAGGTTTAGTATGTGTTAGTGGAGGAGAGAATGTAATGGTTGGGTTTCAGGTGACGTCACAAGCTTTGCTGAAGTTAGTGTCCGCCATGTTGGTGTCCCTCGGGTGTCAAATTTATGAATAATTAGTCGATTTCTATAGTGAAGCCCTCTCTCTTATCGCCGTATTATTTCGCCAACTACATGAATATCCAGACAGAAAAAAGCGATAAAAGTACCCGGCATTCATCTTAAGGTATCCCAGTGCTCTCTGAGTATGCCGAAAGCTTAGAGAGTTGGAAGGAAAGATGTTTGCAAAAGATCTCGGTCATTGGGGTTGACCCTGCAAGCATACCAGCCGAGAAGTTCAGTCCAAAATGCTTGCCTCCTGTGGAAGCGTCGGACTTGCTGAGTTACCTCGTTCTTGAGACCAGCTTCTACACCAAGAAGCAGTTCAAGGCGTTCAAGAGTCTAGAGGCGTTTAATCAAATGGTGTCGGGATTTGTAACCTCAGTTGTAGGCAAAGTAATCGCCGGCAAGTATGCCGTGAGAGCACGAGTTTGGCATTCACAGCATATGAATGATCCTTTAGTGAACATTTGGGTCATTTCCGAAAACGATGGGACTATTTTGTCAGCCCATTGCTTGGGATGCAAAGCTGGACTGGCTGAGTCATGCTCACATATCGCGAGTGTTTTATTTATGTTAGAGGCAACTACTAGAATTCATGGCAAGGTCGCTGGGTGTCACGAAAACTCAGACACCGAAAACTCAGGTCCCTCGAAGTGTTCTCCAAGCTTCCGAAGTGCTCCATAATTCGATAGTGCATAGCATAAAGCATGAACCAATTTTTTTATAATATAACCGGTGGAATAATGCAACAAATCCGACGCGAAAGACGAACAACAATATCAAGAGTGATTCTTCAGTGAGGCGAATCGTGACGGCGCTGATGCCGAGTCTTCTTTCGCGTTGTTTTTCTCTTTCTGCCTCATTTAAGAACTCTAGCCCAAGGGTCGCAAAATTGTCTTCGTTTTGGGACTGGTGGGCCGAGTCTCTGTTTNACATCGATTTCTCATCGGCTAAGAAGCTCAAAGAAAAGCTCGACCAAAAAATCGAGGATCTACAACAGCCGCAAGCCTCGAACCATACAACAACTCCTAGTTCCTCCTGTTCTTCCCCTTGATTTGTGATGATCTTAGGTATAGCGCATTAGATCATATATATAATGAATTTTGCGCTATAGAGATAATAAAATTATTAAATTATTATATGAAAAAATCCTTAGTCTTTATGCTTTCCACTTTTGCTCGAACAGCCAACAGTAATGCATAAAACAATCCCTTCTTGCTCACATGAACTCTTCGTTAGATACGGTTTGTTTACGCTCGAGGGACACCAAGATGGCGGATATTAACCGTTGCTAAGGTATTGGTCACGTGGATGAAACCCAAGGATCATGATACGAATGGCTTCCTTTTGTAGTATATAAAGTGATTCGAGGTAGGAGGCAAATGTAGACCCCCAAATCAAATTACAATAATTAATGTATAGTAGGAAAAGAGAATTACATAAAGTTTTTAGGGCATGGCGAGGGTAGACATCGTCTTGATTTACGTAAAATTCCTATAACCTTAGCGACCTTATCACAGACAGTAATAATATGATGTTTCCATAAGAGATTTTCATGAATGATAAGTCCAAGAAATGTACATTTCTCCACCCGGGTTACAGGAGTGTTATTTATATCGATGTTAACTTTGGAGAGATCAATCTGTTTACGCCGTGGATGGAAGATAATGCATTTGGACTTGTCAGGGTGGATAGTAAGCTTGTTTGCATTAAACCAGGAGAAGACATGAGAAAGCTCTTGATTAATAATGTTTTCTAGAGTAGCCAAGTCTTTATGACGAAAAAAAATATTGGTTTCGTCAGCAAAGAGAATGAAAGAGAGGTAACTAGAGGAGTGGAAAATATCATTAATGTATAAGAGGAAAAGGAGAGGGCCAAGAACTGAACCCTGAGGGACCCAACACTTGGCTGTTTTATTGGAAGACACATGGCCATTGACCATCACATATTGCTGCCTATTAGTCAAAGAACTATTGAGCCAGCCTAGAGGAGTACCACGGATACCATAAAAGTTTAATTTTTCGTTAAGTATCTGATAGTTGACTGTATCGAATGTCTAAGAAAATTCCAACGGTGCATTCATTATTTTCAAAGCCTTCATAAACATTGTTAACAAATTCAAGAATAGCCATTGTAGTAGAGTGGTGAGGTCTGAAGCCATATTGAAAGCGGTTAAAGATGTTAAAAATGTCATGGAAACCAAACAGTCTAATGTAAAAGAGTTTCTCAAAAACCTTGGAGAGACAGGGAAGAATGGAAATAGGCCTATACGGTTCGAAAGCAAAGAGGAGTCATCACATTTGAAGATAGGAAGTATTTTTGCTGTCTTGAGCGGTGTGGGGAGGAGACCATGGGAGAATGACAGATTACAAATATGAGACAAAGGCACAGCTATTAAATCAGTGGTCTCTTTTATAGGGGAGATACAGAGACCATCAGAGCCCTCACATGTACTATTTTTCAAAGAATAAACTATATTGGCAACCTCTGTCGGAGAAGTTGGGGTAATGTAAAAACAATTTATATAATGGCCAATCATGAAATCTCTGTGGGAAGACTAATAGAATGGTATCTTATTCGCCAGAGAAGGCCCAATATTAGCAAAAAAATTATTAATCTGTGTAGCTATTTGAGTAGGATCTGAGTAAGTACCAGTGCTGTCTTTCATATGACTAAAATGTAGCTCAGGCTTCTTTTTAGAGATTACTTGTTTAATAACTGTCGATGTCTTCCTCAACTCTGAGCTAACAGAGAGAAGTTTGTCATGAAATTATTTTTTCCTAGCAAGTTTAATGAGAAAATTGTATTTGTTACGATATTTGTTGTACCTTAACTTGTTAAGTGTAGTAGGATTTAACCGAAATTGTTTGGAAAGAGCATTCTTCCTTTTACAGGAAGCAAAAAGACCTCGAGAAAACCAAGGTTTTAAAGGGCGTCGGGATTTAGGGCCTACAGGCTTAGAGGAAATGACTTCCGATATGCAGAAGTAAGAAGGTTTGAGAATGTATCATAGCACTCATCGACCGAAATAGCAGTATAAACTGGCGACCAGTCAGTATCTTCCAATTTAGACCTAAATGACGAAATTGTTGCAGGGTTAATAATACGTATGTATCTCTTGTGACGTGGTGACTCTATAGATAATTTCAAGTTACTAATATGAAAAACTGGAAGATGATCAGATAAATAAGTGTCGAAAATACCACTGTGCATGCTAAGTTCAAGATTGTTTGTATATGTTATCAATCAAGGTTGCAGATGAGGAGGTTATAAGGGTACGTTTAGAGACTTAAGTGCCACTGAAACAAAATTTTCGTATCTGAGATTTTTGCATGATAATAAAGTTTGAACCTTACTAACAAGTGCTGTGAGTTTTTTTTTTTTTTTTGCTCCAACGGAGCGCGGAGAGCTTTCTTCTAGCCCTTTAAACTCGGCTAGTCGAGTTCGAAATTGGCGGCCATCTTGGCGCGGCCAAAACAATGTTGTGCCGTCACTGGTTGTATACATCTCAGAACTCCAAGTAAACCCCAAGTGAGCATGGAGTGAGGCGAAAGTGTTAAGAAGCCCCAAAAAAAAGTTTTTGGGCAAGCACTGTGATGCTGGTGGGCCCGGAAAAGTAAGTTGTACTAATAACTTCAGAAGAGAGGGCATATCGATGCATATGTTTCCTCGTGACGATGTAACTCGCGAGAAGTGGGTTCGCTTCGTGCGAACACATCGGGCAAAGTGGCAGCCATCGAAAATATCAGTACCGTGTGTTCAATGCATTTTGAATTTTCAAACTTTGAGCAGCGACTCGATCTAAATCTCGGGGAAGGCTCTAGCTTCCTTTCAAACAAAGTGATGGTTAAAGAAGGATGCTGTGCCAACCAAAGATGGTGTACAGCAGCAAGAAAATGCCTTGTCCTCGCGTGAGCAAAGAATGATAAGTGTGTGCTTACAAAAGGTGTGAAATTCCGCTTGGCGTTTGGACGAGGAATAAATACGCAGTTTGTTAATGGAGAAAAGTCGGAATGGTTCAAAGTGCCTTCCGCGTCGAGACCGATAAATGTAAACTTCCCTCTCGTCTGGAGTATTTCGTAACAGCATCTAACTTCACGCGCCCCAGCTAAGCGTGTAACACTGCAATTTCCACACGTACACCTGTAGACAGAAATGCTTAGACTTAAGCCTGAAGGTTCAATCGAAAAATAAAAAATCACAGCGATGAGCTCTCACTAATTGTCTAAAGGAACTTGTCCTTCGAAACGTTCTAAAACGGAGGGCATACCGTCTTCGTCTTCCTGTTCATCTTCGCCGCCGCCATTGTTATCGTCGTCTTCACTAGAAGCTAAGGGCTCGCCTTGGTACGGCGCAAAATCGTCATTAAATTCAAAGTAATCTTCTCCATCACTGCTGCAAACGTCTTCGCTCCCTTCGGAAGAAGATTTCCCCGTTGAAGGCTAGTTTCCAGACATTATGGCGGACCGTATAAATACAAACAATGCGAAAGAAAGGACCCACGCTAGCGAGGTAAATACAACCATCGATGTCAGCAATCGTTTTCATTCGCTCCCAGGGCCCGGACATGTTCTGAAGCCAAAATAAGGTTTTCAACACTAAAAGAGACAACTTTCCACTTTTTTCTGGCGAAAACAAATTAGCCCACGATAATCAGCGTGTTTCAAACTACTAAATTATGAAAAAATCTTAGACATGAAAATTTCGTTTCAGTGGCACTTTAAGGGAAAGAGGCAATTAGATGTCATAAGATTGATGAACTCACTAGAGGGCTCATGAGAATCAGAATTAAAGAGGTTAACATTAAAATCACCCATAAGATATGATAATTTGTTCTCAAAGCTAATAGTTGATAATACAGCTTCAAATGACTTATTAAAGTCACCAACAGAAGCATCAGGAGGTCTATAAAGGCAACCAATTACAACATTTTTACCATTACTTTGTATAATTTACACAAAAATTGATTCATACAAAGAACTATCAGAAGATTGAAGATCAGTTCTAAGTTTATACTTCAAACCAGTCTGGATATAAAGACCAACTCCTCCACCTGATTTATGTTCTCTGAGATTAGAAATAAAGAGGTAGCCGGGAATGTTGAAAAGATCAGTAGTTGACCTATTTAACCAGGTTTCAGAAACAGCTACCACAGAGAACTGCATTTTTAATGAAAGAAGATATTCTGAAAAGTCATCAAACTGTTTCGGGAGGCTACGAATATTGACATGAAAAGCAGAAAATGTATCAGGAGGAAAATTGATTTTGTTAAATTATGTAGAGGTTAGGTAGGTACAGTTGGAGAGCAGTTGTGAATTTGCAGTGAAAAAATTGGGGTCAGGATCCAGATTGGAGTTCATTAGCAAATGAGAAGACTCGGGATCGTCGAGGAAGGGATTGAAAGTTTTTTACTTAAGCAATTCGGTATCGAGAATTCCTTCAAATTCAAAGTCAAACAAAGCAAAAAAGAAATCAGTATCGTCTTCTAAATGATTGAATGCAAATATTCTTGCAAGACAAGCCGAGCATAACCAGGTATCATTAGTATTACCCAGAGCAATGTATTCATCATGAGTGAAGGGAGTACACTTCAGGTGAGTCCAATTTAGGCAAATCTCACATAAGATGGCTTTGTGATTATTATGAACATTAAATTTGCATACTGAACACAGGAACTTAGTAGGCGTAAACTTACAAATGTTACAGAAAAAAAAAAACTTTGAGAATATTGGACCGGCAACAGAGCATTTTGATTGGTTGATTTTAGTTATTGGCCCTCTGATTGCCCGAGTCGTGTAATAATTATTTGAAAAAAATGTTTTGCATTTCAGTATTCATTCCTTAGGCTGCTATGCGGGGGTGTGTTGAAGACTTGTTCAGAATGAGCACAGCGAAAGGAATTCAATAATCATTTGACCTGCGGATTTGTTTTTATCTCATCTACACGTCATAAGAGCGGCTTGAAAATGTATTAATTAGTTTACAGGATTTTAGAAAAGATAAAACAGCATCAAAGAGGTAGATAGACAACGAAGTCATGTGATGCAAGGCAAATGATTTTATTTACTAATTTTAACAAGACAAATCATTGTTGTTTTTCAAATAGAAGGAAATGATGCATGGCATAACTTTTAATTATCATAAGCGATCACACAGAATTCGTTTCTCTATCTTCATAGCATTTTATTGTGTCTTTTCTTGCTGGTTTCCTGCTGGTTATCCCTAAAGGTAAACAAAACGTCGTAACGTTTATTATGATTACTTTAGTTCTATGGTTAATAGAGGATAAGTTTTATCTTCTAGGGGTTAAGAGATAAATTCGACAAATGCCACTTCCACTTGTTAATAATTCTGTAAAAGAAAAACAGTTCTGATGGACTTCTTTCTGTCAATTGTGCTCTTATTTCGTTCGCTATTTAACTTTATAACCACCCTCTTCTGAAAAAATAAACTCATGGTTGTACTCCAAAGGGCCTCATATCATTGGGGTAAACTTTGACAGAAATCGCGTGGCCTGATGGGCAGAGACTTACTCAGTCACTTACTGGCTTCTTTATTCACTTGCTAACTTGCTTATTTTTTTGCTTACCTACTTGTTTACTCATAGTTGACAGACTGTCTTCTTAAACACTTACATTCTTATTGGGCGGCTGGTAATAAACACATCCGCATGTGCGGCGACAATTTTGCAACATGAATTTTAAATTTTTCTCGGTTCCCTGTCCACAAAACCTTCTAAATCGACTGCAGAATCTTTTACTTCTCACGTCTGTGCATGCTGAAAGAAAAAAATTAAACGACCAAGATAATTAATCTGTCAGTGATCAGTGATAGATAAGAGAAAGCGTTAGCCAAAGAATTTCTGCAATTTCAAGCGAAAAAGGAATGTTGTTATTATCTTTTAAAAAGACTTTATAACAGATAAGTTTGAAGATTCTAGCAGTTGAATTTACGTGAAATATTTCCTGTCGTCGACCATAAGAAACCTAAACAGCCATCGGCAACGTCAACCTTTTCGCACTCAAGATCCCATTCACAATTCTCCTTACAGTCTGCCATACAATTCTTGTAATGTCAGTTTGGAGAATTTGACATTATATCAACCAACAATCCCCTTCATGATAATTTTCTTGATTCTCATCACTTGTCTGCTTGATATTATGTTAATAGAGTAAGGAGAAATTCTGTTTCGGTCAGTCATGGGAGTTCAAGGGTTACGCAAAGGAGAAAGGAGACATTGAAATTCTCTATGGAAGATGAAGTTATACATTTATTAAAAAAGTCTCTTGTTCATTTGACAAGTTTGAGTTTTAATTTGTACGATTCACTTCGACGAACCCTGAATCACAAACCAGCATTTGAGAAGGAATTAATTGTCATGGAATGATTCCGCACAACTGACATTGAGAAGGATGAAATATCGAGATATATAAAACATGATAAAGTATATTGACAAGAAAGCATAACAAATATGAAATTAAGAAATATGCTGATATAGTAATTGGTTGCTAGTTTTACCCATTGAACGGCGAGTTGTAATATCCTCAGAGATATTGTCATCCATTTCAGCACCTGGAAAAATAAACAAACAAAACAACAAGTGAACTAAACAAAAAGAAAAATGGATACAAGAAGGCCCTAGCCATAAAAAAGATAGGAATATTTTATAATATATCAAATGTTTATACTGCAGTAAACAATGCAAAACCACAAAAACGTACAGAGAGGTTTCTCGAAAGTAAGTGAAAATTGAATTTGTCGCCAAAGTAAAAAAATTATTTACCGAACATTTATTTGTCTCAATGATAGACATTGCAGACATCCCCCCCCCTTACCCCTTTTTTGAAAAAAAAACATTTATTTTGTTACACTTTATAGTTCGCTTTAATTTCTTATTAGATTCATAGATGTGGATCAGGTACGACTGTAATATTCAATAAACAGTTTCCAGATGTAATTGAACCCATCTTGACTCCTGAAAAGTCCATTTCAACATGCCACTGGGGCTTCACTGAAAATATTTGAATGAAAGGAAAATCAAGAGTTCAGGCTCTTGGTTTTCAAAATTCTTGAAGAAAAAGAAAAATCTCAAGTTTTCACAGAAAAGTTTTAACTATCAACTATTTTAACTATTATTTGGTCTTTGTATGCATTACTGAAAAAAATTAGACTGAACTTATCTATGATTCGCGTTCCGAAATAATTCCTGTGGTAGAACTATGATTACACCCATATGAATTTCTCAGAAACTATCCTTGTTATATAATACACCCTTGTAACCTTCCTCATGCACAAGATTCCTTCAAAATTGGTATTTCCGTCCCTCGGACAAATTAAAGGGGCTAACCAGAGAACTTTTGTCAGAGGGAAAGTCCTTCTTAAAATACTTTTCTTTTATTTGGTTGTGGACACTCGCTAACAATGTTCACAATATTTCGACTAGAGAGACGTTTATAGTTTAGATCTATTCTAGCTTTTGTAGTACTTACTCAGCATGTCCAAAAGAGAATCGGCGGAGATTTTGTCAACGTGAGCCAACAAACAGGCGACAAACGCGAGGAGAAGGAAAACCTTGGTGGATTTCATTCTCAAACTTTAGTCACCGGCTGTCGCCAAAGGAATGCTTTGTTGAGCTAGCTAAAGCAATGATTAATGAGTTTTTTTTTTCATCTCTGCGCTCTTTTATAATTTTACTTAAATTTGTCAACAGCTGCGCGCTCGCTGGTGGTTGTAATTAGTCATTTTTTGCATTAAATAATTTTGATAATTTATTACCGCAAAAAGTAATTTCACGGATATCTCCAACACATCGACAAACTAGTAACGTCTAAAGTAATGCGTCTAACCGAAGAAAATTTTTTATCATCGTCCAGGTGTCCAACAGTGACAGAATCCGACAGCAAGGCTGGAATCTAAGGCATCCAGCAGCAACTAACTTTTAAAGGGAAAGGAAAAACTTTCAAAATGACTTGCGCCGCTCAGAATTAAGCATCTGTATTAACCGGTATTGATAATTTTTATTGATCAAAAGTGTCGACCCCAATTTAAATTTGTTGAGGGACACATGTGCGAAGGCGTTTTGATCTTACCGCATCTAAATTCATTTAACACGTTTCCCAAACGAAAAGGTATGCCCCAAGGCCTAGCAGTGTTGTGAAGAAAATCTAGTTTTGTTTCAAGCTTCACGGCCTACTCACTACAAATGCCTCGCTTCTGCGATAGTTTGTTATGACAATAGCTTCAATGAAACATGTGATGTTTTTTGGTTTTTGTTTTCTGTGAATTCACCGGCACAATAGAGTTGCCGGCTCGGCCTTAAATTTAAATTCTAACTATCTAAATATGAAACCAAGAATATTAATTTGCATAAGAACTGATGTTTTCCCCAAGTTGTTTTCATCGCAGACAGTAAATTGGAACCGTTGAACTAACTATTCTGCGAATGGAAACTTCAATTTTTAGCTACGTGATGCTATTAATTGTACAGGTGGTATCCACTTTTAACAAAGAAAACGATGTCTTTGTAATCTTCATAATCATTACCAAAGGCTATCATTTGTAAACAGGCTATAGAGCAGTGGGAAGGTTGATAACTTCACAGTATATCCTTATTTTTATTAGAAAAAATCATTTGCATGCGTCTTCGCGAAATTCTGACTGCCGAAGTTAAGAAAATCATTACTCATCATTATATTGAAAAGGAAAACCTCATAAACATTTACTTTCCACACACATAAACATACGCTTATTACAAAACTAGTTTCGTCTACAGACCTCTTCAGTTGTATGTGATGTACATCGAATCGGTTTATGAGGTTTTCCTTTTCAAGATAATCATTTGCATGAGTAAATTTGTAAAATTGGCCTCGGCTTCATGATAAATTCAAGTTATACAGTGCATCTTAAGAGAAATTAATGCAGATGCAAAGAAAATTCATTCGAAATATTTGTGGTGGAAGTTTCTTAATAAGACAAGTGGTTCTAATTAGGTTTCATCAATTTTGTGCGTAAAGAATATATGGTCACGTAATGTGGTCACCTTGACCATATCTAAAATCTGAATTAAGTGATCGTTCATTATGCTATAAAGACGCTACTTTTTGTGGAAATGGGGGAAGAGCTGTTATCATGCTTGTTTTACCTTTCTGGTAATTCTTTCTGTTTTATTCTGTTGTGTTTTGTTTTGTTGCGTTTTTCTTCGTTGTTTCCCATTTTGCCATCAATAAAGTCCCCATTAGTTCTCGCAGTTACTTAACTATAATGGAAGACTTTGCAGGAATGTCATCCTCCACTCTGTTCAGTCCGTCTTAATTTTCGATTTCCAGTTATAAGATTCATTGTTCTTGTCTAGGTTACGAAGATAAGATATACATAAAAAAAAAGGCAGGTGCCTGTAGCTTTGGGTTCGTGACTTCAACATTGATTATTACGCGACAAAAACCACCAACACCTGAAGATTGGAGTTTGCTAATTGGTAATGACAGTGTGGAAACTAAACATTCACGAAAAAGCTACGTTAGATTATTAATGAAATGCTTGTAGTGCTAGCATTAGTGTCGATTTCTCACCAAAAAAAACTACCTAAAATAAACTACATCAGACAGATCTTAGAGTGCTTTTCATCCTGAAATAAAAACAAAAAACATTTCATGAAGATATTTGCATGATTAATTTCGAGATGACTCAAACTGACGCCACTAATAAATAGTGAATTTGCGGGTGAAAAATGAATAAGAAAAGCCCAAAATCATACCCAAAACACACTTAAAGTCATTCTTCTCGAAATGCATGGGAATATTGCTAGATGACACATTTACTAGCTTTGTCTAGGTGAGATATCTGTCTCTCGTTTCAAGTATTATGTAGTTTTATAGTGCCTATGCACACACCGTCTGGTGTTAACTCATTTTCAGTTACGGAAAGACCATCACTGTCTTCATGCTGATATTGATAGATATTTTATAAATTTTTTCTTGTTTTTTATTTTGTTTGTTTTCTTTTTTCTTTTTTTTTTTACATTTTCCTTTTCGGACGAGGTTGTGGAATGAAGACTGATGATAAAGCAATCCCTCAAATCAACACGCTCACCGTTTTGACGTAAATCTGACCACAGTCGTCAAGTATTTTACGACTGAATATGTTCAAGAAAACTTTCAAGTATTTGATAACATTCTCAGCAAGCTTAAGGAAAGAATAAAATAAATCTTCCGATCTCGATTAAAATTAAGAGATGTAGATGAATGATCATTCAGGGAAATGTCAATTGTTCATAATGTGGCGTCCTTTTAAACATGACTCTCATTTTTAAGTAATGGTCCGCGTAAGAACTATAGTAAAACCAGCGGGAATCCGGCAGCGAGGGCCGTTTGCCACGATGCCGAGAAAATTACAAAACAACGCTTGTTATTGGATAAACGGAAATAAGCACCAAATTCAAATCTTTGGCTCGAAATTTTGTAGCTCATACTCCATTAAAGTTAAAGACGCAAGAGCCGACAATCGTTCATAAACATATAGGTATGATCCGTTAACGTTTTTGAATTTGTATGTGGGGAAAACCACTTTTGCGAACGATTTCTTCATTCAGAAAAATATAATCTGTCAAAATAGGCCTGCTTTCTTTTTTCCATAGACGTTCATTACTGATCATCAAACGCCATTGGTGCGGTTTGGAAGATTATCTCACCTTAGTCTTTCGGAATCGGATGACATGTCGTCGCGAAACTCGCGAAAACTCCCTTTTATTTGGCGTACCCAAGTACCAGACAGAGCGTCTTCAGAAGGTGCTTAACGCCGCTGCTCGACTAATTTTTAGGATTCCCAAGTTTCACCACATCTCGTCCGCCTTATATAATCTTCACTGGCTTCCTGTGGCTTATCGCGTCCATTTTAAGTTGTTACTTTTAATTTATAAAGCTTTAAATAACCAAGGCCCACTATACATAAAAGAATATCTGCAGCCACACAGTGTCAAGGGTCATCAGCTACGTTCCTGCGATCAGGGTCTCCTTAAGGTCCCAAGAACTAACTTTAAGACCTTTGGTGATCGTGCCTTTGCCCGTTCTGGACCTTTTTTGTGGAACGAACTGCCGCTTGAAATTCGAAACAGTCCAAGTGTAACGATTTTTAAGTCAAAGCTTAAGACACATCTATTCAAGCTGGCTTACAGTTTGTTTTGANACGTGCGCAAGACCATAGTCTTATTTGTCAGCACTGGTTTGCAAACTGAAATTTGGTTAACCAAGCTATGGCCGATAGGTAACTTTTCTTTAGAGAAGTCCACCTCGTTTGGGAAAATATAAATGAAGTTACTCAAACCCTGATTTTTTATTTTCCTTAGAAAGAGACACGCGCGGGATGAAAATGAAAAAGAGGATTGCGCCAGTTCAAAGCGGCCAAGATTTTATCCGCTGGTGAGTAGGTTTTATGTACTGGCATAAATCAGTAGTAAGAGAACATGAAGACATTTTGTATTTCAGTATTTGGTTTTCCCAAATGGACTGTACAAACTACTAATGCGCACAGTGTATCGAATGCAGTACGAGATTCTTAACATCGAAGTACCTAATGGAATCCTCTTGATATTTTTCAGAAACGAAACCTTTTCATGCTGTACGGCAAAAACCCTGCTTCAAATAAGAATATTGCAGTGGTTGAGCAAAACTCATTATTGAAATAATGAGTTTTGCTCAATCAATCTGGGGTAGAAAAAATTGTTCGAAGATGAAGCATTCAACACACATCTGGTCAAAATTGGTGGAGAGACGCATTTAAGATTATCATCCGTGGAAATTCTTCCTATTCATCTTTTGGTTAATTTCCTTTTTTGCTTCATTTTGTGATCCCCTTTAATTTTTTGCAGTTTTCCTCAAATGTATCCGATATGATATATTTCATCAGGAAATAATTCACTATGGAAGCTGTTAGTCTAGGAATGTTCTTTCATTTTAATGTAGTGTTTAATCGAAAGGAAAAACATTTGCCAGCAGAAGTAACGATCCCCAATATTTAAGAGGTAATTGTATAAGATCAAGGAAAATATGTAATTCTCCGAAATGTTAATTTGTTGTCCGAAAATACTTTCGTGTGTAATGATGGGATTAAAAGAATACATAATTACGAATTAAAACACATTGCCTTATCCATCTTTCTTCTGTCACGTGTCCTGAAAAATGCATAAAATAAAGATAACTGCGGAAAAAATGAAAAATAAAACGTGACTCAAAAAAGGTATTACTTAGCTCAATCCACACGTCTAAAGCTGATTATATGAATTTGAAGTGGTTTAGTGAACGAAATGTTCCCTATAAGGCAAAAAAGTGAGTGAGTGTGTGTGTGTGTGTGTGTGTGTATAGGAAGTCTGCGTTTCGATTTTTCCGTATAACAGTGCTCGATTCGTAAAAGTATATGTTGAGTATAAAATATATGTTGAGTAGAAAAAATACGACGACTACGTTTTTATCCCTACAAGCCTGTTTCGTGATCGCTCACTCACCAGGGGATTTTATTATCATTGCTCACCCATCAGCAAATAAGTTCCCTGGTGACTGAACAATCACAAAACAGGCTTGTAGGGATAAAAACGTAGTCGTCGTATTTTCCTACTCAACAAATATATATATGTGAAGGTGTAGTCTGATCGTCCGGGTGAGTGTAGTCCTGAGAAGGACTGTTGTCGGTGGCAGTGACTGACGTTTCGACAACAGTCCTTCTCAGGACTACACTCACCCGGACGATCAGACTACACCTTCACATGTTACCCCCGGGTTCAAACCATTTACTGCANTTCACACGAACACGAATATATATATATATATATATATATGTCTATAAAATAAAGACAAAAAAAAATTACGTCAAGAATATATTGTCTTAGCACCGAAGATAGACGGCAGCGCGTTTATTTTTGTCTCTTAAAACCTACACTTTTTCTTGCACTGTGCAACAGGATCGTTTCGTCGGTGGGAATACCAGGTTGTATTTTCCAAGGGTCAAGTTGCTAAATAAGCGTTTTTAGATTGTTCGTTGTTAGATTCAATTTTAATTGCTAATAAACCAGGATTCATGAAAATGCATTCTAAGGAAATTATGAATTAGACAGAGTTACTCAGAGACATTATAATCCAGCCATAAATGTCATTTCAAGTTCTCTTTGTGAATGAGAATATACCGCAATGAAAGAAGAGTTTAAACTGAAACGTTCCATCGTTTTTCTCACGGTTTAGAGTCAGGCTGTCAATTGTATTGATCGCGGTGTTTCGACTGCTATTCTGCTAGTCCCCGACGTCGAAAGCAAAGCCTACGTGTCGCCATTCATAACACCTTGTTTAACTTTTATTGGTGTGTTTTGGCGCGCTGTTTGGCACGCTGCGATTTTAGTGGCGAAAGGACCGTGACAAATATTTTTTAATCTACGTAGAAATCCGCTGTCTCTTTGAAAAAATCACTGTGCCCCTAAACGATGTTCCATTTACATGTCCATGCACAATCAATGACGGGCTTTCCTCTTGGTTAACGTTCTCTTCGTTTCTTTGTTGTTTGTTATCCTTTCAAAACCTTGTCACCAGTTGCGTAAAATGTCAACAACCACACTGACATCGAATCGTAATTCGAAAGGCGCAGGTCGCGTCACTTCAGTTTCCACCAAAGTGTTATTCAAGCGCCGTGTGACTTAAAGTAATACAAAGATCTTATCTGGAAGAGCGGATCACTGGGAAAATGATTTGAGGTAAGAACCACTCTGCTTCAAATTTGATCTGGTAACATAGATGCACTATGAATTTTACAATTCAGGAATTAGGAACGCTTGAAGTCTGCAGTATTTAAACAGCGCAGGTTGCTAAGTTATGAACCAGTTTTTTCTTTTATAAAGGAAGAGAGCTTAGTTTTTAGGATACAACAGCATTATACTCATTCCCTGATGATACGTGCCCTCCAAATTTGTTTGGCACTTTTCAATTAGGGATCAGAAGTTAGAATTGCCTTTAACGCGGTAAAAAACAAGTTTTTAAAAAAATATATTCACTGGAGAGACCACCCATTACTTCAGCTTCTCCCATGGATTTTCTTTGTTAAAGTTAAGAGATTCCTTGTTGAAATATTTGTAATTATTTTAAAATTTAGTTTCGATTTTACGGTGTAAGTAATGACTTTACAGTGACAGTATGTAAACATGAAGGCAAACCTCAGGCGACGAGGGCACGGTACCGAGGATATTGACATAGCGGTAATTTGGGTTCATAAACCGAGTTGACACTTTAAACTGGCCTCTGTGGAGATATTATAGAGCTGACGCTCCGAGTGTTAGCCCTTCGTTATTCGCTCTAACGAAAAGCCAACGCTCAAAAAGTCAATTCTATAATCTCTACACGATTGCAAATTCGCATTGCAAACCAAATTATCTCTGTGGCTCTGTGGTAGAACATCGGAGGCGGAATCCGAACCTTCGTGTTAAGACGAAAATTATCTTTCTCTTTCTTCCTCCAAATTTATCTTGTAACATCCCCACTGACGCAGCAAGACTGTTTCTTTAGAAACTACCCACTTTATTCAGATATTGACATAAAATGTCTTCGCTATCGTGACATTGTCTTAAATAACAATTTTCTTGTTACCCCAAGGAATTCATATTTAATGTGTGGAATAGAAGCAAACTGTTTACCTGTGTAGAAAAGGAAATAATCATCTGAAAAGCAGTACTCGCGTACATGGCTATGGTTATATATATAAAGGGGATCAGTTTTGTCAAATCTCCATTTGTCCACGGGAAAGCAAGATGTCCACTCGTTTGACTTCAACAAGACTCCGATATAACTTTCCCGTAAGTGGAAATCCACCCTATTTTTTCCTTAGTGTCCACGAAAGGGACTAATTCTCCCAGGCGGATAGTTCCTTACGGACACTTTGTCCGATTCCCAAGGGTGTCCACTTACTGCAACTACCACAAAAAAAATATCTCACTGCCTGAAACGTTTAGAAAATAAATGCATTCTTCATTCAGCGCAAAAAATCTAGGAATGAAAGCCGTGCGAATTGTTATGTAAGTAAATGGGAGCTGACAAACATGCAGAGATCCGAACATGTTTGAATATAAGAGCTCTTATGAAGGAGACGAGGAATCGAAATAGAGTAAAGGCAAAGTTCCGGAAAAAAAAATCTCAAGGAAATTTTGCATTGCATGAATTTCGGTATCTCTATTCACCCTAGTCGCACGATTATATTATGGCTCCTTTTATCAATTATTTATTGGCAGAGACCACATTGTTCCTTTATCGCAGGTCTGTAAGTAGATAGATCTGTGAATACCTTAGTCAATTATAAAGCTGAATCTGTATCAGAATATCATCAGTATACTATAAGATAGTGATTAACCACTCTCTATGTTTTGTTGTGATTCAAGTGTTTCTTATCTCTAAGCATATCATCTTTCAGAAGCCTGAGCCTGAGATGGTCGGAAAAAAATTGAGTGCACCGATCTTGTTGCCCTCTCTTCTCCTTTTCCTGCTGCTAGAAGACAATGCAGGTAATTAGTTTTCACCTTACGAGGAATCTTGATTTTTGTATCAAAGGTGATCCTGGATTGCAATAATTTTGCTTTGATTTGCTGTGTGAATGGTCCAGAAAAGTCGCTTCAATTTCTCGACGATTTAAATTCAAAGACAAAACTATTTGCAATTTTAATCAATCACGTTTTCTCACGCTTTAGTCAGTTTGCTTGTTTTTTCTTTGAGTTGTCACTAGCTCCATGTGATATTTTTGTTTCTTCTGATTGGCTCTTATAATTACTTTCGTTCTGGTTTTAGCGACACTCAATCAAAACACGCTCTCTAAAGCACGTATGCATGTATTTAAGTAATAAACCACAGTCTCTATCGGTTTACTGGCCTACCTAAAACAAGCAAGATGTTGGGAGAGAAAGAGAAAAGTTTGTAACTGAAACCAGGAGGGGCAGCTGAGCATGAGTGGTTTACAAAATTTTCAAGTAAAGCGGAAAAAATGAAGGACGACAACATCGAGCCTTGTGTACTGATTCAAACGCCGTCTAGCTATTTTTTTTTTACTCGCGGTACACTATTTTTCTTTAACCGAATTCGTTTCTATTGCTTCAGCTTGAATTAAACTTTCATGCATGGAGTCCTCTTTAAAATTTACTTAGTGCTTAAAACGTATAAACTTGACAAAAACTATCAAATAAAAAAATGAAATCGCGGGAAGCAAACAGAACTGCTAAAAATCACTTTCCACGCAGTTTTTGTTCTCATGAAAATGACATTTTCAGTAAATATCTGAATGAAAATCCAGATAGTCAGGTTTCTCGCTACAAAGAGAACAATGGGAATTTTTGCTTCAGGTTCCAGTTTTCTTATCCTTAAGTAAAGTTATCTCAATGATGACACGAATAGATATCCTGCCCTTTGTTTCATTTGTTACAGCGAAAATTATCTGATCCCTTAACTCTGAATGTTTCCTCCGTTTTAGATATTCTGTAATGCATCTTTTTTTCCTTCCAAACTGACTTGAGCTCTCTGAAACATAGATGGCCGAGCCATAGTGTCTCCATTCTTTCGACCTCCGCCCGGACAAGAATATGAAAAGATTAAAGCTATAAAAGGTAGTTTAAGCATTCTTGTTTAATGCAAAGCATTTACCTAAGAACAATATATTTTAGGACTCGAATAATATTTACAGCGTTACGCGCGAAACAGGGTACTTCCTCGTTTCTCGTCCCTTTGGGTCTAGACATGCGCAATGAAAAGATTAACGCCATTAAAGGTAGTTTAAGCATCCCTGTTTAGTGCAAAGCATTACTTCCTAAGAACAGTGTAGTTTAGGACTCCAATAATGTTTAGAGCGTTACGCGCAAAAGATAGTTCTTCCTCGTTTCTCGTCGCTTTGGGTCACATGCGCAAGTGTTATTAGAGTAGAAGTTTCTAGTCAAGAGTATTAATACATGTCCACATAGTGTCGGAGAAACCTGAAAAAAGGCTAACGAATAACCATGCGATGGATCGGCAGCTTGTTTGGGGCGGAGTAGCAATAATTGTAGTGGATCGGATGTCAATTAAAATAGGATAGGCCCAAGCATTTTAAACCTTTAAGTGCATAATGCTGATTTTTGTCCCATGGCATCTGCATGGATTTATCCATTTTCTCTTTCTCTTTTTCATCTTTTTTTTTCCTTTCTCAAAAAATTGCCAATAACAACGCGTTTTATTGTTTCGTTTTCTCTTTTGTGTGCGTGCGTGTTCTTTTGAAACACTGAAGATCATACATATGAGCAGTTCTATGGAAAAGGAGGCAAAAAGAATAAAATAAGTCACAAGAAAATGCTGACATCACAAGATATGACTTTGACCAGAGAAGGTACGAATCTGCATGTAATGTAGTTTGAATGAGACTAAAACATGTTACCTTTGAGAAAACAATTTTATCATTTAAAGAACATTATATATGCAGCTTGTGTCTAGTTATCATAGGCCTGACAAGAAAAAAACAAGTTAACCAAGCAAAATCGAATGAAGAAGTACATATCCGATAAGTACGTAAGACAACTAGTATACGCAAAAGACAGGTATGCGGATGAACCACACCAACATCAGAGTTGTCCCGTAGAGTTACAAGACGTCGAGGAAGGAAAACTCAGGATCAGATTTAATTTACAATGTAGACCTTATCTTAATGGACCATCCTACCAGTGCAAATTGGTAACAATTGTGTAGCATGAATTTCGTCTAACAATGGCTCGTCGATAGCTCTGTTGCAGGCAACCTCGGCCCAGACCACTGCACTTGTTGCTGCCGCTCAAGCTGCGCGCTCATCCTTGGAGATCTCGGAACTAGCTCAGAAGGCCCAGGACATTTCTGTCAAGAGAGCACTGTGGGCCTTAAAGACAATTAAAGTTGCAGCAAAAGCTGAAGAAGTGGCAGTGAACGCCATACAAACCATGTTTATGTAAAAAAAAATAGCATTTCTAGTTTTCACAGTCAAATTTTACAAAATATATAATTTAAAAATTGTCACCTGTCTATAAGACCTTTGAAAGAAAAACTGATAATAAATGTTTATGCACAAAGCAAGTTCACGCCTTGATTGATCACTCTACTTTTAAAATATTCAGTACATTACGGTACCATTTCGTTATTTATAAATGCTATCACGCCAAAATTACATTCAGAGCGAAGAGTTTATTTGAAATTGTACTGCTTGTGATGAGGGTCGAATTTCCAATCTCAAGCTTCGAACTTCTGTGATTTATCTAATAGCTTAGCCACATTACTGGTCTGTAGATGAAACCCGCAGTAACGTTTAGCGACCGCTATGCCCAAATTAAAGTTGTGATATCTAGCATTGAAAGCGTTGCTACTGTGACGCGTTATTTCAAGATAATACGTCAACACATATCAGCATATTATAATGTATTTTCTTTACATAGAGAATAATAAAAAGGGGAGGTTTGACAAAGCTTAGGCTTTTCTTCATTCTCGCTTCATTCTATCTATGTGGCATAGAAGTACTGAGAACTGTTTCAAACATCATTCTTACTTTCGCGACATATCGGGTTATCATTAAAATAGTTTTATTAGTTTACGATGAACATTTCCAGGTTCTGAAATCGTGCAACTGGTGCTGTAGCATGCAGTGCAGGTGGCTTATTAGGGCGATTTGAAAGATCCGCGCGATCGTTTATTCAACCGGCCGCGTCTAATTTGAAGTTATTTTTCCACTGTTACTCACCCCCTTGGTCCAAATCTCTTTATCTCCCCAGCCTTCCACTTCATTAAAATCAAAGAGGACGGCCATGATTTTCGCTAAGAAAATACTTAGTACTTGCTCGCCAAAATTTCGCTTGCTCAGCAAACTACTTGAATTGCATCCATTGTTCAATTTGTTTTTCATTTCATGAGAAGCTGTGACACGAAGCAGCAAGGGAAGATACCACTAAAAGGCAAAATAGTTTGTGAAAGTAAGATAAGCAACATATTTTAAGGGTCATTTGTCATACAGCGCACCACTTAATTGAAGTTTATTTGATTAAGGTTGCTCCTTGACGGACAGACAAATTTCAACGTGATTTTTGACAGGCGCTTTTATTTCCTATGGCTCACTGAAAGACTTTTCTTTTGTTTTAGTCAAACGTTTGAAGAGTTTTTCGATTTCAAGCGACGCCGATGAAGAGTCTCATGAAACGTCTCGACAAAATTGAGGGTTTTTAAGATTTAAGTTTTCAAAACGGGAAGCAAAGACATTATGGAATGAAGATGCGAAAGAGTGAAAACAAGGACACAATTTTATTTCAAATGCATAACCCACGGCATACCTCCTACATCTCCAACACTAAAAAAGTCATAAAGCTTATGACCCCTTAGAACCAACGCCCTGAGAAGAATGTAGAGGTCCTTTATCTTCCTTAATGAACCACCTGTTTATCTGTCAGATATTCACACCAGAACGTCAAGGGTATAACGTATGCATAACAGATTAATGTCAAATTAAGCTCGTATTTTCCAACGCTACAAAGAAAGAGGAATTTCGGGCTGTTTTCCCCTTTTTTGGGGGGGCTTTTAAGGTAAGAAATGTAATACACGACATAACTTTTACATTTTTGCCATGCAAATGTTATCTTCGTTAAAATTAAGATAGAGTTTAGTCTGTAAAAGACGATCTTAGATGTTTGTTGGCCATTAACAGGTAAAATTGACTTCTCGTCCAGCTGGATATGTGGTGATTTACGCAGTCGTCGATCCAATGTAAGTCATATTTTGCCTTATAATGTGGTTTTGATGTTTAAACCAATTTACCCTCGTTCTCGGACGTTATTGTTAAAAATATGAGTTCTTCTTAACTCCACCCCCAATCCTGTCTTCGGCCTTTGGTCATGAAACCAAAAATAAACTTACCGAAAAATAATAGAGAGCTTCACTAGTCATTACTGTGTTAACTTTGAACTAAGGAAGCCTTGTATAACTGAAGCAAACTTTAAATTTTACAAACTTATCGTCTAGACTTGAAGAGAGTGATTATGATCAACCAGAAAGGATCCACTCGAATAGCGGTTTTTTTACAAAGAAAAAATAGCAGAGGTCTAAACAATGTTAGATTCAATCATTTGTACTTTCAATTTATCGTTGTAGCACAAGTGTAGATGTTTCAATTTCAAATTACGAAAGTACTCTATGATCTCTATGATTTTGAAACCGCCTACGACGCCATTTTGTTTGACGCGATCTCTACCCGTTAATAATCAGTCTGGCCACCAGTTTCTTACCAGGTCTCACTCGACCCGGTAATATCATTTAAGATCTCTTTGTCCACCTGAGCGTCGTATGCGTTTTTTTTTTTTTTGTTTACTTTCGTTGCTTTTTAGCGAATGCAGTCGTCAATCCAGGATTGTTGCAGCTGTCATCGAGGTCCATTATGTTTCTCAACAATGTTTTGCAACATTGTTTGGCGATCATTACGCATATAATTATTATAATTATATTATAATTATTATTGACAGTTATAAGAGGAATACCTGTTGAGCTAATTTCCAATCCAAAGAAGTGGAAAGCAACTGAATCCCCCTTTGTACCAGCAGTTTTCCTTGGCCATTGCAGTTGCAAGGAAATATTGTTCGCTATTTACTTTCACAAAGAAAACCTGTCTACGACAATCGTCACCATTAATCTACTGCAGTGGACTTACCAGTAATCATTTACTACATCTCTAATAAATGTCCCCTTCAAGTGATCTACACTTTGTATAGCTAGAAAAATTCCACTTTTACAAGAATGTCTCAGTTTCTCTCTTAGGATAGTACCGGTGGACTTCTACAATGAGGTCGTAAACGTCCTCCGCGTAAACGTCCTCCGCGTAAACGCCCTCCGCGTAAAAGTCCTCCGGGTAAACGTCCTCCGCGTAAACGTCCTCCGCGTAAACATCCTCCGCGTAAACGTCCTCCGCGTAAAAGTCCTCCGCATAAACGTCCTCCGTGCTAGGCCTATCATCGCTAATTCAGTCTTTGTCTACCAATCAGATGATACTTTGCCTGACAAGGAGCTATTTATTGTAATGTAGATGGTTAGAGAGGTTACTCCGTAATTTCTGATATTGAGCAATTTCAAAAGTTATATTACATAGTTTTCACACGCGGCATCGTTGTCTTGATAGGATGGAAGTTCTCACAGGAGCAATTATAGTTGCCATATCGTTTTATGAGGAAATAATTGCACTTATTCTTGCTTAGGTTGTTATAGAGCAGTATCGATGATGCATTGGGCCTTACTGACCTTCGCAGTGACTATTGTTACAATTGAAATCACAGGTGAAGATTCTAAATATACTTTAATTCCTTACACCATCGTCAAATCTGCTGCAAAATAGGAAAATAAGAAAAAAATAAATGGACATACTACTAGGTGGCTCTTATTGCCCACTGATTCAGGTCGAATTGCAATTTAGAATGTTGGTGTTTCGCTCTTTGTAAAAACTTACCAGTACATGGAAGAAAACAATCAGGAAAAATGTCAGAAAAAATTTCACTCGTTTACGTTAAGGACAAAAGCTTCATCTTTATTGGTAAAAATATACGCACCAGTAACTTACATAAAAAAAGGAAAAAATTGTGTACCGACATCAAATATATCACCTCTTACTCATGCTCCTAACGTTTTATGTCATTTCGTTTTGACCCATTCAATAGAACTAACTTATCTTCGCTCCTTTCTTTAGATGCCAAGCCCTACATTAGGGACAGAAAGTATACAGAAAATCCTGGCAAAGGTAAACCTCATGGATCGAATAATACTGAGTTACGTTTAAGTCAACTCGTAGAGATTTCATATTATCCTCTCTAACAATGCCTATCAATAACCTTCTCATGGAAGAACTGTCGTTTTTTTAGTTGTATGCTTTTACCCTGGAATTAATTTTTTGTTTTTACAAAGGGGCTTGTGCAAATAATCGGTATAGATGTGAAGGAGGTAATAAGTGCATACCGTTGAAATGGATCTGCGATGGAGTTCATGACTGTGACGATAAACTTGATGAGCGTAATTGCTTTACCGGAAACGAAACCAGCATTCCTGCCTACAGTAAGTTTAAATTCCAATAACTGCTCAATTTATTTAAAGGAAAATATGTGGAAAACTGCTCTTTGAGCATTACACTCGATATGCAATGAAAGGAGGTGGTGAACGAAGAAGTTTTGGGGTTTAAAGCAAGGAAAGAAATTCCATCTAATCCATTTAATCTACCGATTAAAAAAAAAAGCAATAAAAACAAAACAGTGACGAATTTAAATAATTACATTCTTTTAACGTTCTGTTTTCATTCTAAGATTCTTCAAGGCTAAAAAGATTATCGCTGTATACTATAATATTTGGAAAATTACATTTCACAGTTAATGCCAGGGAAATCGGTGAAGCTCAAGATATTATAGATGGCACCAGCAGATCCGGAATCAGCGGTAAGCGAACTTAATCCTGAATCAGACAGAAAGGAGGCCTCAAATTAGGATCATCTTTCATTTGTATCAATTTATATCCAGGATGCCCGAGAAGTACGTACTCGTGTGATGAAGGTCAAAAATGTCTTCTAATGAGTTCGTTGTGTGATGACATGAGCGATTGCCATGATGGCACAGACGAGAAAAACTGTCCTCTGAAACCAGGTAAGAGACTGCAGGGGCGATCTTGTATGTTGGACTGTTGCCATCGGCAGATTGTGGTTTTTAATTGATGTCAGATTCTGTGTAAGCGCGAGTTCAATGCTTTGAAAGACTTCTATTAAATTAACTCGTCATGTATACAAACCGTTGAGTCGAGACCTTTCCTTTTGTTATGTATGACTATATAATGATTACATATGACTACATAATGTTTGGGCTTTTGATTTGCACCGTTAGGTTGTGCTTAGCGTTTTTATACTTAGTCACCAGACCACCCGCCAGAAGTACAGACTTCCCTAATTCTCTTCTAAAAGATCCTGTTTTCTCCGTATCACTACTTACATTACTTTGGCTTCCAATATAATGTCTTATAAATTATCATAATTCACATTTAACATCACTTTCAGTGATTCTCCACACTACACAGTCCTTTACCAGCTTAAAAAACTGCCCCAGAATTTCACATAGTGTAAATCTTTGCGTTAACACCCACTTTTATTGTTACGAATTTAATTTCTAAAGCATGCGAGTCAAGTAAACTATCCTGTGACGAGGGAGAGAAATGCCTACCGCTGACCTGGGTGTGCGACAGCATAAGCGATTGCAACGACTACAAAGATGAGCATAACTGTCCAAATAAGATGACTGGTAGAGTGACATGTATTTTATACCTAAACTATGAGTTTTTCAACTACATCATTTGTTTACATCCATGTAACTTGTCTTTGTTTGGTTATCTGTTTGCTTTCGTCCGAAGCCATATTTTGGCTTGGACTTAAAATTTCTTGATGTGTTATTGATAATATAGTTGTGCTTATAGGGAAATCTCTTGCGCATGCCGCCGAGGAAGCTGCAATGACCGCTGCCCAGGAAGCAAAACGAGCCGCAGCAGCAGCCGAGGACATGATGCTGCTGGCCCGAAGAGCCGCTGAAAAAGCCAGTCGGGCCTTAAAAATAGCGGAAGATTATGGAGCAAAAAAGCCATAAACATGTGAACAGACATTACGTCCATTTCTGAAACGTCACAGAGCTTTTGTAACGGGGAAGCATTACGTCTCTCACCGCATGTACAATGTAAAATACAACGAACTCGCAATATATCAATGGAGAGATCATGTGAATAAAATAAACAATTTCTCTTTTATTTTTATTTTATTTTTTTATTTTACTTTCTCTTCTATTCTATCATATGAATAAAGTAAATAATTTCTCTTTTATTCTTCGAGAATCTAAAGAAATAGCTGATCAATCCGCACTGATAATTTTTGATTATCCCCCGCAGCATATTTTCTTGAACAATTTCACTTGCATAGCCGCTAGGATTTTCTACCTGAAAAACAAGAAGAATTTTCGTTAATTGACAACAGCTTTTTCTTAATAAAAGGTCTTATCTTTCTCCTTCAGGACTGATTGATATGAGCAGTACTAGTAGAAAAATCGGAGTGAAACAATGATTGCATAGAGTAAATTCTTCATATGATGTTGTTCCAACACAACTGACTTACCATCTCCCTCTCATTTCATTTTCTGTCCTTAAAAGTTTCTTAGTTAACTCTTTCCTTCCTTCCTCGGGACTGGCCATCTATTGCCTATTATCAACTGCATTTTCATCCCAAACTGTCTACTTTGGATTAAGAGGCCCGGTTTCCTGCGATGGCTAGCTTGTTTTGTCGTTGTGATCTGAGAGAGAAAATATATCTTCCCTTGCTCTCGCAATGTTGTTGTCTACACAGAAGTGTAAATGGGTACCAGACAACTGTCAGAGGGGGAACTTGACAAACTCTTAGGTAATTACTTGCCACGGAAAAAAATAACGAGAATTAATGGTTGGACTTTGCAACGTTAGCAGAAATGCCACTGTTTGAAGCTTCTTTGTGCTCTCAAATTCAAGTGAATGATAAATTAGGCGATACTAAGGGGTAAAAAAAGGTTTAATTTTATGGTTCCATGTTCTCCAAAACTTAGATAGATCTGCACGGATTATTACTCGTTGCTCTCGCTCATCTGAAGTAATAGAGCAGCTGCAATGGCCGAATCTTTCCAGTAGACGCTATTATCACGAGGCCGACTACTAAAACAGAGACGATGAAGAACCATCAAACAACCGATCGCTATCATTACTCAATTTTGCTTCAAAGGCGTGACAAAAAATTGCTCTGGAACAATTTAGCACTTATCTTATCTCTCACAACCGCCTCTCTTCCCACCAATCCGGTAACAAGTCACTCCACTCAACTGAGACTTTGAATATCTACATCACCGACCTCTTGAGGCCATGGACAAGAAGAAAATTAGTGCGCTAATACTAATTGACCTCTCAAAGGCTTTTGACAGCATAAGCCATCAGCGGTTTCTCCAGAAACTCTCTACCATGGGAGTGTCATTCACTACAATCACGTGGTTCCAGAGCTATTTGTCTGGCCGTACCCAATCAGTGCGCATCGGCTTCATGCGGTCGGATCCGCTACCAATCACACACGGAGTTCCTCAGGGCGCGATACTTTCTCCACTCCTTTTCTGCATTTACTTGAACGATCTACCATTCGCGCCTCAATTTTGCCATCTTAAGTCTTATGTCGATGATTCTAAAGTCTTGTATCTTTCAATGCAACTGACACAAACAATGCCAAGATTAAGCTAGAGGAGGACTTACAAAGGGTCGCTATTTGATGTTGCGAAAACCAGTTGCTAATAAACCCCGATAAAACGAAATTTATGCTGATTGGCATAAGGCAGCTGATAAACAGACATTCCAATGATTTCTCGGTGTCATTCCCAGGAAAGTCCCTTACCCCAGTTGACTCAGCAAGAGACTTGGGCGTGATCATTGACTCACACCTGACCTATGATAGTCACAGTTCTTACTTAGTCTCTTCTTGTTTATCAAAACTAGTCCAGATCAACAGAGTTAAAAACAATTTCGACAAGGAAACACTAATGCTTGTTATTTCATCACTGGTATTCAGCTGTTCTATTGCTCAACAGTGTGGTCAAATAAATCCTCCACTGATATAAAGAAACTGCAACTCATCCAAAACTTTACTTGTAAGATCATCACCGGTTCCAGGAAGCACGATCATGTTACTCCCCTACTGTACCAACTTAGCTGATTGTCAGTGAGCCAGACACTACAACTTAGAGATACAGTTATGGCCTATAAGTGTGCCAATAATTTAGCACCCGACTACTTATGTAACAAGTTACAAAAACGCACCACCATACATGATCGAGCCACGCGGCATAGCAACAAACTTCAGATCCCTTTTTATAAGTCCGCGAACGGTCAATGAACCTTTGCCTATAGAGCAGTTTCACTATTAAATTCCCTGCGTAGTGACCTGGTGAACTTGCCTTCAGTAAAATCACTGAAACATTCTTTAAAGGACTCCCTAAGAGGGACACATTAATAGTGTCTGTATGATACCCATTGGACATATATATATATATATATATTGTGGGATGAACTTGTAGTTTACTTGTCTTTTTCCTCCCACAATATATACTTCGCTCTACTTCTATGTATTGAGCACTGTTCTACGAAAATCAAGTCACACTTTATATATATATATATATATATATATATATATCTGCAGTTAGTTATATATATATATATATTTCATTTTTATCACCCTATTTTAAGTTGTTCATTTGTGATTGTAAATTGTCTACTATTGTAAATAGTTGCTGAAAAGCGTGTACAGGAGTAATTATTAAAGTTCATTCATTCATTCATTCATTCATTCATTCATTCATTCATCTGGTGAACCCTAAGGCCAGCCATACCCGGCCCTAGTTAATACTGTAAAAACCGTATAGGCCCCGGTTGGATGGGTCACTCAGTTCGTGTGCAAACGTTTATTTCTAAAGAAAGGTTTGTTGAGTGCACTCTTCTAGATATGAACACAACTGAAGGACACGGATAAGGAAACTGCTCTTGATTTCACATTAATCACTGCATTGCTAATAAGAATTTTTTCACTCCTAGCGTTTTGAGACAGGTGAAACTGATATTTAGCAACGGCTGGTGGGAAGCCTCACCCACCTGCTAGATGGATCACAATACAATTATTTGTATTTAAATTTTATTTTCTTCGGCCATGAGGAATGGCAACGGGTATCTCTTCAATTATATCAATAGAAGAACTTGTATCAATCTGTGTCCACGGATGTTGAAGATTCTCTTACTTGCTATGATGGTCCTTTCTTCATCTTCAATAGGTGCGCAACAAAGTGCTATTTTTTATTAAGTTGATGGTTCATTCATTACCTTTGTTTTCAGTGACAAAACAGTATGTTCCAGTATGAATCTTAAGCATTGAACTGTTTAAGACTCAACAAGCATGGGAGACCCCATTAGAGCCTGCCTTCTTGCAGTGAAATCTTTAAATTAGATAGATTCTAAAAGCTACAGTTAATTATTTGGGTAATTTTCGTCCGGGAATAGCTTAACTAACGCTCCTGGTTACCCCAGTTATTTAGTCTTCTCCAATTTGCTGCCGATGTCGAAGAGATTCGACAGATTTGTTTTTATCTTATTCAGTGCGACATTTTCAGAAAAGTAAGAGTTTATCATGGGCACACAAGTTTTGCAGATTGTTTGACACTCTTCGTTCATCTCAGTCGATCATTTATGAATTATTTTCTTCACATGGGTTCATGCTTTTATCTTTCCTTCAGAGAGAAGCGAAGTAACAAGGGGCTTCACAGAGGCATTTTCGATTATTAACTCTCTCGAGCCTACGATTGCTGCAAAGCCTGCTACGTTAAATCTAGTTCCCCTTATTCACACAATCAAACGCCATCTCGTTGACTTTGCCAGGAGTTCGGAAAAAACCAAGTCCATTTTAGTCATATCTTCACCGAAAGATTCAAAACCTTCAAACAGAGAAAAGATCAACAGAAAAGATTCTAAAGCAAAAGAGATAAGCGCTAGTAGCTTTAAAGGACACAAAGTGATTCACATCAGCAACGACGTTGAAGGTATTTCTTTTTATTTTACCATAGTTAAAGTGCACCTAAACCCAAAAATTTTTTTTCGCTTAACGAAATAAGCGTATTTTTTGGAGTATTTCTGTGCAAAAATTTTTTTATTTACTCAAATTTCAATTTTCTGTGCCCAGTCAAAATATGGAAAATCGGCCGCCATCTTGCCCCACGACCGAGTTTAAAGAGGGATGGCTCTAGCGGGTAATGTGACGTCAAATAGAGAACACGAAAGTCTGCATTTCACACATTTTCACTTGTTTGGGAAGGTTGAAGTCGATATTGTCCGAAAATATGCCGACTAAGTGCGTTGTAGGAGGATTTAGCAACGTGCGAAATTTGCAAGAGGGTATCGCGCTTCATCGTA